CGGGTGCGATGGCGTGTGGGGGGAGGGGGGAGGGGGGAGGAGGGGCGCTCTGTTCGCTGGTGTGTGATTCCCAGGTTTCTTCGGAGAGAAACTGATTGATCAGACAATGCGTTCGTGTTCGTGCTTTTCCATGACCGAACGAAAGGTCTCTTCTCGGAATCGTTTTCATCTCGTGTTGGCTTGGAAGTTTCCTCCATCATTTACGCTAGATCCTCGGAATTTTTTCTCTGGAATCGCTCAGTAGCTCGAGTTTCGTTCTCTGGCCATCTGGTGAACCGGATCCCAGCCGTTTGGGATTAAATTGCATCTTCTCGCCGAAACCAAGGGATTTAAAAAAAATGGGGGGGGGGGGAGGGGATTTAAATTGCGCGGAAATCGGTGAACCGCTCATTGACCGCCTTCCACCGTTTCCATGGCCGCGACCCCTTGGAAATAATCGAGCAAAAAAAGCAAATCCAAGCATCGCCGAGAAAGCAAACATCCCCCCCCCCCCCCCCTCCCTGCCCCCTCCCCCTGCCCCCCTGCCCCCCTCCCCCCCCCTTGACCCACTCATGCTCGCCCTGAATCCCCTCCATCGGCCGCGTTACCTCATGCATCCTCGCTGAATTCCTTCCAGCTCGAGTGCCTTCATCGCGTGACCGGCATGGCCGACTTCAACACGGCTTTCCTCCTCGCTTCCTTTCTTCTCTCTCATCCGGTACTTCTTTTCCATTATCATCGTTAAGTAATGACTGAATTAAATTATTTACGAAATTACTTGGTCTGCGCTGAAGAAGTGGACCGATTTAGGCCGGTCTTGTGACCCCCTTGGAAAACAGACTCACTCCTTCTTAAAGTGGGCCAGGTGACCCATTAAATCGCTGGGACGCCAGGAACCCAAACAAAAAACGTCATGGACTCTCCACGAAACACGTCAGGGACTCTCCACGAAACACGTCAGGGACTCTCCGACCTTGAAACCATCCGCCCTGCCATTCGAGGCCGCTGCAGTGCGAAACAGTTGATTGGAATAATAGCTGATCGCAGGCTCCTTTTCGTGTCCTTATCCCATTATGCTCTGAAAAGAGAAACGGCTGGCATGAAATGCCTTTTTCCGCAATGGAAATATGGTTACGTACATCTGTTCCAAATGAGATTCATCTGTCACAGATGAGATTCATCTGTCACAGATGAGATTCATCTGTCACAGATGAGATTCATCTCTCCCAAATGAGATTCATCTGTCACAGATGAGATTCATCTGTCACAGATGAGATTCATCTCTCACAAATTACATTAATCAATCGTAAATGATGTGTATGGGTCCCAAACGAACTCATTTTGGGGACTGAAAGCGTGAGAAATCCCCAATTAAACCTGTAATGCGATTTTCTCGGGATGAACCGGGGATTAACTAACGATTAGCCCGTTTTGTTCCCCCTAAGAAGAAATTCACGTCCACGTCCCACGCTCATCAATAACGGAAACACGAATTAGACACATTTTAAAATCTCGTGGCCTTCAAGGTTTCAATTGACCTTCATGGTTTGAATTAAAAATTTGCATAGCAATTGGTATTGCGGCCTCGAGCTTGAGGAACGCGTCGCTCTCGCGACAGGTTGCCGCACTCAGGGCAACGTGAATTTTAGCGCAGAACGAGGAGGTTCCTCGTGTGATATTGCAAAATTGACTTCGATATGCAATTTTCTCAGCAGCGTCCCAATTTTTAAAATTAACTAATAATGGGATTTATAAAATGAAGCTACCTCTCCATAAATACTATTATGTATATCGCGAAAATCACAGCGACAATAAAGGAAAGCTCCGGTCAATTACTTAAATAATTTGCATCTCACTCTGCATTTAATTATAGTTTGCAATTTGAAAATTAATTTTATTAATTATTAATTTTCATGGTTGAAAACAAGCTGCAGCGCATATTTTCTTCGTTCCTTTTCCTTCTTTCACTCATATTAAAATTTTCATCGAACGCGCTTATCGATCGACACCTGGTAAGCCAAGAAACAATGATTTTTCACCCACCTGCAGGTGGCGGAGGGTCAACTCCCCCCGAGACTCGACTTTCTCACGTGTCAACATGCAGCCTCGTTTTCCACCTGTCAAGGTTGCGTCGTGGTGAGTTCTTGCCCCCGGAATTCAAAGCATATCCTTGCCAATTTTTCGCAATAATTGAAATCGGCAGTACTTTATTTATTTATTTGATTTATTCATTTATTCATGACATTCGACTGCATCAAGCAAATCTCAGTTTAAGGAACTTCGGCGGAGACGTTTGGCAAATTTTTCTGCACTCCCTGAATGCAAACTATTTAAATAAACACCCTTATGCATATTTCTACATGCCAAAAAAATTGTCCTTGTTACGGAATCTCGCTCCAGTTGAAAATTATTTCCTTTTTGGTGAAAATGTGAATTATTAAAATATTAACGCAGGCGCTGGGCACGGTGAATTTCATCTTCTCCCCCGTGACATCCCAGAAGACCTTCCTCACGGGTCTGGGGACCTGCATCACCAACAACGTGGCGAACAACGCTGCCCTGGATGCGGCCTCCCAGGCCCGTTACGCCGTCTGTGCCACTACTCTCAGCGTGGGTGCATTCTCTACGGTCGAAGTGAAAATTTCTTTTTAGTTACGAATCTGCATAATTCGTTCGATTGCGTAGTGGCTGCCTTTGAAATTTTTCTTATCGAAAAGGTGATGTAATGGTGATTTCTTGCGTGTTTTTCTTTTTTCATGATTAAATTAAAAAAAAAAAACTTTCAACAAGTAACAAAATGAGAAAGTTAAAAAGAAATCAGAACTTTGAATTGCAGCTGCGAATTGATGAGGAAGACGCGGAACGTCTCCATTGATTTTCAACATATGTGCCTGGAAATAAGTGGAAGGAAATTTTGCATGCGAAAAAATTCGGCCAATTCATTTCGAGGCACTTTGGAGCGGGAAAGGGAAAGGTTCTTTCGGTCTCTTTGCAGTCAGGCGGGGGCTCAAAAATCGCGAACTTCGGAGCGTACTACAGCGGCAGGAACTGCATCTCCGCCGCCAACAACCAAGCCACGGCAGCCACGGCAGCCGCAACCAACTCAACCACGGCAGCCGCAACCGCTTCAACCGCCGCGACCACTACGAAATCTTCAGGCACTGGATGAAGTCGCCGCTTCGTTCATGCATTTCGACTTTGTATCGTATGTTTCCGTCCCGGCACAAAATTGGCTTCACTATTCCTCCCACTGATTTTGGACCTGTCTCAGATCTGTCCCTGACCTGTCTCAGACCTGTCCCAGACCTGTCCCAGACCTGTCCCAGACCTGTATCACACCTGTCTCAGACCTGTCCCACACCTGTCCTTTGAACACCATCAGCGGATCGCCGGAGGAAGGAGTTTACTCTCTGATTAGCCTCCTCTCATTTATATACAACGTTGAAATTTGCCTTCGTTTTTCTTGCTGTGGAAGGTTCCAATCCAATGTTTGAAACATTATTCGCCTTGCACATTTTCCGTTAATTGCATTTTAGGGGTCGCACTTTGGTGTCACATGACGAAAAATACGTATATCTTTGTCTTGATTTTGGTCGGTTTGCCATGACAACAACGGGTATAAGTTTCTTTAAAAAATTATTAAAATCGAGGGTGGTCATGACAGACCTACGATCTGGCTTCATTCTGAATTTCCCGGCTTTCCCGTCACTTTGAATCAACTCGTGCCAATATCAGTATTGAATCAAAACGGAAATTGCCAAATTTTTAAATGAGATTTTTCCTGAGGCGCATGGGAACTCCCGCTCAGTGCTGCCGAGTGCTTAAACGAATCTATCTAGCAAGCAGGGTTGTTCAATGGAAATAAAAATTTGCACACTTTCGAGTCATTCTATTTTATTGCAAATTTTGAGTGGGTTCTACATCCCCTGATACGAAAAACCATTCCTATTCGAAATTGAAGTAAGCATATTTTAATTCAATTTCCTAATCTTTTTAAAGGCGAAAGATTTCGCCCAGATTTGCAAACGGATCCCATACAACATACAAATAACTGAAAACAATGGCTCGATGGCTTTCATTTCAAGAGATTCAAATTTCGAAATAAATTTTCACACAATGTCCTAATGAGTCTTTGTGTCCAAGGAAGACCAGGCTCGCATTTTTTCCAAAAGTAATTAGTATTAACCCCGTAAATCTGAATGTGAAATTTCACTGAGCAAATGTAATGATTTTTTTCATGTTAAGATTAACGTAACCGATAATTAGACCACTCCCCATTCGGCACAACAACGTTGTGTCAACGTTGAAAAAAGGTTGATGGCAATGTTGCCTCAATATTGAGAAAAGGTTGGCTTTTCAACGTAACATGTTGCCACGATGTTGCCCCAATGTTGAAATGAAACAGCTCAACGTAGAAAAGTTGATGCTGTGCGACGTTGTGTCAACGTTGAATTCTCAACGTAAGGGCATTATAGTACCTCCTCCCTATTCCAGGGTTTGAATGAGCTTTGATTGTCGGATGAAATTGAATATGAACTCCATAGATGGTTCCCAAGAGGTATGATACTAGCAGTACTCTGCCGAGTACAATCATCCCACGTAAAGGACCCTCAGAGTTTGATTTCCTCTACTGAATGAAAATTCACATTAAGTACTTGCATGACTCAAGTACCTCTCGGTCCAATAGAGGAAAACGACCTCGCAGGCATGGTTTTTATACTCTATTCATCACGGATGAATCCGAGTAAGGGCGCGTGCCATGTAGGAAAATTGAGCGTCTCTTCTCGGACCCACTAGCCAGAAGTACTTTGGGTCTCCTTCTGCCTGATTACCTCCTTAAACATGTCTATCTAGGAATTCCTATACCTTCCCCTATGCTGTAAATGGGAAAAGATTGGGTACTGTCTGAAAAATGCTGGGTATTGGTTATTTAAAGGCATCAAGATAAGAATCGCGGAATTGGCGGTTATGTGCCATCTCGCGTCGATTCGTAGAACCTATTTTCTGTTGATATGATGTGGATAACTCCACCTAAAAACAACATTGAGAATACGATTTAAAAAAAAGTTGCTCCTAATAGCCTCCTTAATTCACGAGTAGTCACCAAATGCTGAAAATACGGTTAATTATGAATATCTAGCATTTAATTGATGTCGATTTTTCGTCGAATTCTCAACTTCAACCAAGTCTCAACGTTTCAACCTATTCTCAATGTTGATACAACGTTGTTGTGCCGAATGGGCCTCTGTTCGAGACAGCCAAAGAAGCTCGCACATGATGCTCAGTGTTTCTTTCAGAGATGTTTCTTCCTATTGTGTCGACGCCTTCGTCGCAGAAATCCATGCAGATTCCTCGCGAAATGTCCTATGTAACATGCGCTTAGGTCAGACGTTGATATTTGCGCGTCGAAGACGGAGGGAGTTTTAAATTCAACTTTTCTTCATTTATTTCTTTCATGTCGTCATTTCGAGCAGGGAGAAAATTCTGAGTAATGCATGCTGCCGATTTTGAGAAACACCAATCTACTTTCCTACGAGTCGTTTCGTGAAGATCCTTTAGAGTCGTTTTTTGGCGAGTTGGTGCCAAAATCGGCTCATTTTCTGGACGTCCATGACTTCCCGAATTTTTACTCATGTTTGAGGGCAAATGCAAATGGGGATCGGAGTATTTTATCGAAGAGACTCTCCCGAACGGAGAGAGCCAAGAATGACGCTTGTCAGCACATTTTTCAGGATAGAACGTTCGAAACGTAGCAGCCGCGGGTGACGGAGGCAGATCCTCCCTTCGTCCTCCATCCCCTGATCCGCCCTACGTCCTCCATCCCCTGATCCGCCCTTCGTCCTCCATCCCCTGATCCCCCTACGTCCGCCATCCCTGATCCTCCCTACGTCCGCCATCCCCTTACCAGGGTGAATGCGCATGAGCATCCCCTCCACGTGGTTCAGCTCCAGTCGAAAGAGCTGGTTCTTCAGGTCGGATGTAGCCTCAGGCCTCGCCGTCTGCCTTCGTCCGGCTCCGTCCTTGGAGAATGTTGCCCTTGCGCGTCTCCGAGTGTCAGTGTTGCCAGATTAGAGGCATTTTGTACTACGGATATTTCCGGCCGTTCAGTATGGATTTGGATGCGGTAGGCCCTTTACATTTCAGCACTCACCCATCCGACTCAAGCCCGTTTCTTCATTGGGCCTTCGCTCAATGGCATTGTTCAGCTGGCAACCTCAACTTTAAATTCAGAATTTGTTAGTAAAAGTCTGTTATCGGTACGAATTCGTCCAATATCGAGATGAACCTGTTTTTTGTTCTAATCAACCGAAATACTTAGATACTTAGGAATTGCAAATAATGAACATGTTAATTAGATCACCCGTAATAAATACTATGCAGGCCATTCCCTATTTGAGTTTCGGCGAAAGATTCCACATTGTGGAGGAAATTGCTCAGAACAAGATTTACTCATGTTTGTCGATCTCGCGTTTATCGTGTCAGTTATCAGTTCGTGGTGTCAAATTGAATCCATCAAGAGTTCTCCTTCATTTGGAAATAAAAATGGGATTATCTGTGCATGAGATAGAACGAGGGGAGACACTTTTCCACCATCGCATTTCAGGCTGAAAGAAATTCGGCAATGGCTGATTGGCTTTCAGCAGGAATGTATCCCATTCGGAAATTCCTCGTTCCTCTCAAATTTTATCAGCGTTCCCAGCAATAAAAAAGCACAGAGGCTTTACAACTTAGTACAAGCTACAGGTTGCAATCTAGTGTTTGTCCTTGCCTCATTACTCTGTGTTAGCCATAGGACTCGCCTTCGGGAGGCGCCCCGTCCCGCCCCGCCCCGCCCCGCCCCGCCCCCCTGAACGTTATGAATTGACCCTAATCGCCAAGGCAGACTGGGTGTGGCAGCCCATTGGATGGATATGTTTGTTTTTCGTCAGAAATTTCTGTTGGTGGGGATAAGGTATCGACTGCAAGATATTCCAAGTTGGAAATAAATAAAAAATTTAATTTATTTCATAAATTTCGCTGTTTTGAAGAAGCACTAGGTTGAAAACTTTAAAACGATTTCGCATTTCATTTAATATTTTCCTTGGTGAAAATCGCTTCACCTGTCGTCCAAATATCTCTATGGAAAGAAATTCTACGACACTTGAGCGTAGCAGCACGCGACACGCCCAGCCACTCCGCGCCGGCGTCGATAACCGCGAAGGCACCGGACCGAAAGGGAGCGTACCACCGAGACAAATCTCCCATCGAAAAAGCGCTAGTTGGAAATTCAGTTTTCCCATGCAGCTATACGTGGCTGGTAGCACATTCGCACTCGATTCAGGGGAGTCCCCTGGATGCCCACAGGAACCAGGTGGCACGAATACGGCAATGAAACATACGATATGAGAGATACGGAGTGCAAAATCCGAGCAGCGGAGACAAGGAGGCAGCGGAGACATCCTCAATTCGGATTCGGAAGCGAGCAAAACTGAGCCAACCCCACGCAACAGCGCACGCCTCCCAGCTCCCTCAAGCTCATGCGCATTGACCCAGGTAAAGGGAGTGAGGACGCGGGGCGGATCGACCTCCGTCCCCCGCGGCTGCTACGTTTCACACGTCCCTTTCTCAAAGCACCAAGCGCTGACAAGCGTCGTTTCTATCTCTATTCACGGGCGAGGAAAGGAAGTGATGGACGTTTTGAAAAACCATCAAATTTTGGCAAGGTCAGAGTTCTTTCTTGAAAAACGAGTTTCACGAGTATGAGTACAGAGTACCTCAAAATCGGTTGCACGTATACCACTGAAATGAATTCCTTTCTCGAAGCAACGACTGCAAAAACGATTTGACAACCGTGCACAACTATCGAAAAGCGTTCCCTGGCTTTTGACTTGCGAATATCTGCATTCGATTTCAGCCCGTATTATCTGAGCCTTCCCGTGACTCGCAAAGCTGAAAGACTCAAACGGTTCGGATCCTGAGGTCCCTTCAAATATTCAAATATTGCCCTCATTTGAGAGCAATATCTGAATCTTTTCCCTGGCTGGCCAGTAATTCAATGGAAACATGCCGGGATCCCATTTCCTTTTTCAAATTTGAAGGAAATTTCGATGCAAAGTTCCAGAATGTCTCGAAGAAAAGTCGCCCCAGTTTCCACGAAACACACCCAAATGTTGATCTAGCTTAGTCAGCGTTCGTGGGAAATGAATCTGCGGCCGAAATGACAGCCTATTCCCCATATTTGACATATAAATTCCTCCGAGCAAATCGCATGCTCTCCCTTTGACCACTGATTCAAGGAGAACATCACTGGCACGCATTTAAAGGACAATGTCTCAGCTGTACGAAAGCGTTGGTTTAACACAATAAAGAGTATTTGTACTTTGGATTGCGTTTTAAATGGAACACCCTGTAGATTTCATCCACATATCTAAATAAAGCAGTCTCACTCGGAAGTGCGCCAATCTTTATTTTCAAACAACGGCCCAGCCAAAAATAAATAAATGCATTTTATCGATCCGGCAACACTGCACGCGGTTTCTCATTTTTCGCTTTGGGTGTCGGGATGAGTCCCGTCCGAAAAAGAATTTTTTGATTCAAGACCGATTTTGACCCGAGTTGAAATACGGCACCTCGGTCGTGTCTGTTAAGACAGCTCCAGATTTTGATTATTTTCAGATATTCAAACCTTTACTTTTCAAAGTAAACCGGCCAAAACGAAAGCGAAGAGCTAAGCCTTTCTCGGCATTTGACTAGTTAAGCATAACCCATGAATGCAAACAGCAGAAAGTTCCAGATGTCGAAATGGAATCACGGCCACAAGAAATATGGAAACAAATATCTACTCTAAAGAGAGAGAGATGGCGGTAGGCATCACAAAGAGCAGGTCTCAGAACAGGTCAAAGAGCAGGTCTCAGAACAGGTCAAAGACAGGTCTCAGGACAGGTCAAAGAGCAGGTCTCAGGACAGGTCAAAGACAGGTCCAGGACCATTAGACAAACAGGTGCGGTACCACTTTGCAAATGGGTCGATTTCGTCTCTGTGCGGAATACTGAGAAATACTGATGCGAAATGAGCGCTGGATCCGAAGCGTGGACTTTATCCATTGGCTGCTCTCGTAGTGGTGGTTGTAGCGGTTGTTGTGGTTGTAGTGGTTGAGGTGGTGGTGGTGGCTGTGGCTTGCCTGTTTGCATTGATGATACAGCTCCTGCCGCTGTAGTACGTTATCAGGTTCCCGAGGAATCCGCTTCCGCCCGACTGCAATGAGACGAGAAACCGTCCTTTTCCGCTCTCTTTCCTCGAAAGGAATTGGAGGAATTTTTTTTGCATGCAGAAATGGTTTCTTTACACATATGTCCAGTTATACGGGGTGATCTAAAAATAACTAGCGAACTTGTGTTTGATTTTTGCATTCAAAACTGAATGGATAAATCTGAAAAAAAAAAAAATTAGTAGGTATTTTTATATCTGCCATTTCAAGTCGGAAATGCAAAGGAGACATTCCAGGCTTTCCTTACAGATTCGCAGCGCCGATACCGCCGATACCAGTACCAGTCAGTTCTTTCACTTTCCCGTTTGGTTCATTTTGCTGAAAAGAGAGTGGGAAAAGGCACTCACGTTGAAAGTAGAGGCACAGGCGGTGTAACGGGTTTGGGAGGTCGAGTCCAGGCCGGCGTTGTTCGCCACGTTGTTGGTGATGCAGGTCCCCAGACCCGTGAGGAAGGTCTTCTGGGATGTCTGAGGGGAGAAGATGAAGTTCACCCTGCCCAGCGCCTGAAATGTCACGGAAATTGTTCTAGTCCTCCTTTCCATTTTATTTACCTTCGTTTCTCGTCTTGGGCCAGAGAAATTATTTTAATTTTATATCAGCTAATCACTTTCATCCGAATTGCTCAATTAAAAAAAAAAAACTTTTGTTCACAGACTCTGTATTTATCCTGCTATGAAAAGTGTTGACAATAGGAAACTTCATGAACTTTTAAAATAAATGTTCAGTGTCGAAAAGAGTTGATACTAGTCTTGAAACGTTGGAGGTGATGCAAGAAGTTGATTGATTTCAGTATGTCCTTCATTTTCAAGGGCAAAATGGAACAAGTGAATGCCGATATTCCTAGAGCCAATTTCCATCGTTGGCATCGCTGTTTTTTTGGGGGGTAAAAGAAATATTAGGAAATTTCATTACTGATTAAAAAAAAAAGCATGATAGTAAAAGGTGCTACTTTCGCAACATTTCCACATGTGAATCTTTCAAGGAAAACGTATATTTTGCCACATGTTGGCTGCTCCCATAATTGATAAGTTTCTGCAGCCTATATTAGGTGTAAAAAAAATTTGGAGAAACGAAGAAGCAGCTCAAATCACGAGGACCCATTGCCAACATTAGCAATCGCAACCGGGCCACCTGGAATGTAGAACCAGATTCATGATTGGGGAAAGGCGTTTTTTGAGCCACCCTGTCCGTCCTGCTCCTCATTCAACTTATTCAACTTCGAACTCACCACGACGCAGGTCTGGCAGGTTGAGAACGTGGTTGCTCTCTGGCAGACGAGATAGTCCAGCCTCGGGAAGAGTTGGCCCTCAGCCACCTGCAGGTGGAGGAAGAGAGGGTTTTTCACCCGAAACTCGATCGAAACGCTGACGCTGGACTTCCCAGGAAGCGATTATAATAAGCTTTTTTTAAATACCGAAGCTACTAAATAAAGTTGGAACTTCCTTTGTGAGAATTCCGTATTTCCGTGACCATGAATATAATTATGAAGTCCATATTAATCAAAGCTGAGAAAAACTGAATGGAGGCTTCATTAACTGTTGCCGTGACTTTCGCTATGTAGATATGATGGTAGTTTTAGAGAGGAAAATTTTCTCAATACATCATGCCATCAATCCAATAGGACACCGCGAGTAGAAATGCAGCCTGACCTTGGTGGAATGCAACTCTGATATATTTATCATTGTAATAACAATAATTATTGGCTTACTTCAAAGATCGTAAGGAACAAAAGTGCGTCTCAAATTCGATGTTGCCATAAAACACGAGGAATCTCCCAGTGCTCGGCTGAAACTCACGAATGTGGCGCCCTCTCCCGAGGCGAAATTGACGACGACTTCGGAGACGCCGCGCGTCGCCGCGCGTGATAGCGACGCGAATTCAGAATCGAGGGAGCGACCAGAAAGGAAGAAAGTTCGAATTACGAGCATGTATGATTCGGCGCTTTTCGGGACTAGGTCCCAATATAGAGCGTGGGGAAAAAAACGCTCTACCGTTTTCTATAAGAGAAAAACGGTTAATAAATTCAGCAGAAAAATTAAATTGGATACGCCATCGATATTTGACAGTTACAAGGTGTCGAGATGCTTGTCAGATTTTTTTCAGCACCCTTGCCTAAATTGTGTAATGCTCATTTAGAGGTGAATTAAAGGTGCTTAGAGGTTCCTTAAGAGTTTCTTAAGTTGGAGCGGATTTTTAAATCGGGCACTGTCATTGTCTCGTCACGGCCAAATTCGAGAATAACTGCACCTTTTTCAATCACATCATGAGCCATGACGTTAAAATAGAGAATCCACGAAAGACAAGAGACCATATCTCGTGCCTTTCTGGTCCCCATCTTCGATTTCATTTAAATTGTGGCGTGCGTCGACTGTTGCCGATGTGTCCTTTCTAAGCTCATGAGATTTCCCGTGTGGCGGGAACTAGGTCTATTCGATGTGGATCTTAGGTGGAAATGTAGATTGTAGGTGCAAACGTAGATGCGAGGGGTAAACTTTTGCAGTTTGCTAAGGAAGGCGAGTTGTCTCATCCCAAGGAAGGCGAGTTGTCTCATCCCAAGGAAGGCGAGTTGTCTCATCCTAAGAAAAGGCGAGTTGTCTCATCCCAAGGAAGGCGAGTTGTTTCATCCCAAGGAAGGCGAGCTGTCTCATCCTAAGAAAAGGCGAGTTGTCTCATCCCAAGGAAGGCGAGTTGTCTCATGCTCGATATTTTGAGAGTCATCCAAGGCTTCTCACAAAGAATGCACTTTGGCAGACTTCGGGAGGGAAGAGCGATCGCGCCGAGCCTGCAGAATCTGGCTGACTGCAGCCGCCTTCAGATTCTCTCCAGCCATGGCAGTCGAGGCGATGAACCAGCCAAGCATTCCAAATTGAGTTTGGAGGAGGCAGATGACATCCGTGAAAGCGATTGAAATCGACGAGAACGATTTCGAAGCTTTAAAGTCAATAACAATAAATATTCTTCAATAATACCGGCCCAACGCGAATGAGTTTCGGGATACTAAACGACGGGTCACGATGGGTCACGGGGCCCGTCAATAAGGCGGAGGGATTTAAATATTTCAGTAGCGAATTCTCCAAGCCTGAAAACTAGGCGATTAACTTTTTATAATTTGTAATTGATGGCGCTAATCGGAGAGAAGTACCCAAGGAGAGAGAAGAAAGGATGCGAGGACGAAGGCCGTCTTGATGGTGGCCATCGCAGATGAGGTCACGAGATGAAGTCACGAGATGAGACGAGAAGTAATGGCTCCTGCCGTTATGACACGAGACGACTTGGACGAGGCGACATGGGGTGTCGGGGATTCGGGGTCGGTCGCGTGTGTGGCCGACCTTTTTCGCCGGGATTGATGGATTTGTCTTCGGGCCGATTGGCCTGCGATATTGCGTCGGGGTTGCCAATGCAGGTTTGTTTCTTGGCGCGGCCATGGAAACGGGGGGAATTCGGTCAATGAGTGCTTTGGACCAATTTCGCAGGAACTGTTTTGCCCCGTATTCCGTTGATTTTGGCAGGTAAACGCGATTGGCAGGAGAACCATTATCGTCAAAGGGATGATGAGCACCATCATAACGTAATGAGGTCATGCACATTTCGTGATCCTAACCCTAACCCTAAGCCCTAACCGTAACCCTAACCCTAACGCTATCCCTAAACCCTAAGCCCTAAACCCTAAGTAGCGATAAATATTCAAGTCTTAAAAATCTGGATCAGATACTCCAAGCTCACCAACTCCAGTTTCTGAAAGCTTTTTTTTTAGTTCATTCATACGCTTGCAATGTTAGGGCAACTGCAGCAGTCCCTCAATCGATTAATGAGCGAAGCCAGCTGACCCAGATGAAGTTGTTCCCAGCAAACAAGGTAACGCTGGATCAACGTTATATCAACGTTCCGAACGTTCATTCAACGCTGATTCAACGCTGATTCAACGTTATGTGTTTCAAATTGTTTGCTGGGTTGTTTCCTCCGCCTTTCCGGGAGCATTTGCGATTCCCGATTATTTGCACGCTAATGAGTTCCGCGGCCTGGCTTCTCCACTTCGCAGATTTTTTTGGGGGGGGGAAATGGAGCATGCGCATCAGGCATCGTTATCTGGGGCGTTGTTAATCGTGATCATCAATCGATCATCAATGGATCATCAATCGCCGCCTGTGAGGGAATGCCGAGGCTTCGACGCTGGCCGTTCATTATTTAGTTATTTATTATTCAAGCGATGGATTCCTGCGTCATTTTTTTTCGCATTGATGAGTGTGGATAAATAGCGTGGCTTTTTGCATTCGGTAATCAAAGCGGGCTCATTGTTCTTTAACCGTCGGTTTGCGCTGAGAAAGTCGTACTTGAGATTTTAATGCGGAATCCTCTGCTTGGAACTGAACATCATTTGTGACTTATTCGTGTCATTTGTGACTTATTCGTGTCATTTGTGACTGATTCGTGTCATTTGTGACTTATTCGTGTCATTTGTGACTGTTTCGTGTGATAACTCTTCCATTGTAGGAAAGGCATTCCGTGCCAGCATTTACTCTTTTTCAGATTAAAATGGACAAAGGGCAGAGGAGGAAGTCTTTGATCAGCTGCACGTGAGATCAGCTGTTCCGCTTCATGCTCGCCTTGGACAGCCGGGCTGTGACTTGAGTTTCTGGGTCGTGGAGGCTCCTCTGACCTGCTTTTGGTCAAGTCCATAGCCCGCACAGCAGAACTCACTTTTATGGGCCTCCTGGGTGACAATTTGGGTAGAGTTACAATTGACGCGGGATTCCTTCATTCGGCCGGAAAGAAAGTGGCAGGCAAAAGAATCGGGACATCCCGAGTCTGCCTCCTCTTCCCCCCTGGGAAGTTAAAAGAGCCTGAAAATAAATTTCCTTTTTTTTTCCTATGGGAAAACCGGTCTTAAAAACGGCAAAATCTCATTCTTTTTGGCAAATTTTTTTTTTTCATCCATGTGTTGCCTTCTTTTCCCCAAACTTTTCCCCATTTTATGTGTCGCCTCGGCAATCGCGATTGGGCAGTTGATGATATTCGCCCTTGATTATCTTCGTCCTCGATTATCTTTGTCCTTGAACTAATTATCGCTATTCATGTATCTGTGCTTCCCCCTTTCAAAAGCGAGGAAAAGGGCAATTTTGCACGAATGCTTTTTCATGCAGGATGTCATTCGGAAGTACAAAGAGCTTCGCGAGGACGGTGACGGGCGACTAATGCCCTTTATACTCTGCCCTTTGTACTTTGCCCTTTGTACTCCTGCACTATTCGGTTATTAAATATGCATTTGGCGATGTCCGGGTGATTTAATTTTTTGCTTTGCCGAACGCGGAAGTTCTGTTCGACCCATTCGCCCCCGTCGTCGTTTCCATGCGGCTTTTCAAATTTGTCTTGCTATGCTTAGCCTGCTTAATCCGACCGTATTAAACACATCGGGAGAAAGAGGTGCGCCTTGGGGCCGCTTAAAGCTGCTGGGAACCGCTTGGAGCCACTTCGAGCCGCTTTAAGTCGCTTGGAGCCGCCTAAAGCCGCTTGGAGCCGCTTAAAGTCGCTTGGAGCCGCTTAAAGTCGCTTGGAGCCGCTTAAAGCCGCTTGGAGCAGCTTAAAGCCGCTTGGAGCAGCTTAAAGCCGCTTGGAGCCGCTTAACGCCGCTTGGAGTTTTTCAAGGGTAATTGGAGCCGTGTAAAGCAGTTGGAGAACGAAGACTGATGAGCCACATGTTGAAGCTGCATGCTGCCGAAGCCCCTTCAAACATTCCATATCTGAAACATTCCATATCTGAAACATTCCATATCTGAAACATTCCATATCTGAAACATTCCATATCTGAAACATATCCTCATCGAAATATCCATCCATTGCAAGTAACTCAAGTGCTTGAAGCGGCTTTCATTCGACTCGGCTCGCTCCGTGCTCGCTCCGTGCTCGTTCCAGTCGAAATGGCATTTTAGATCAACCTGATTTTAATTGCGTTGGGAGGAGATTGAAAAATGGTTTCCTGTTTCCGCTTCACCATCGGCGCAATAAATCGGGAGACGGGCATGCTCAGAGATTAATGTTATATTAGGATTCAACTTTTTATTTTGTTTGTTTTCTCTCTTACTTTGATTCCATTGATTTTATTAATTTTTTGTTTTCATTGATGTCTCCCAGTTGGCAGAAATCTGCTGATCGGCACATGTTGCAGATTTTTTTGCATTTGCAGATTTTTTTGCATTTGCAGGGACCGCTCTCCAAGTTGCCGCGAACATTGATCAAAGCGGCGGGGGGCAAACTTTTCCCCCCCTGCCCCCCTCGAAGAGGGGCAAGGGGGGGAAGCTATCATGGTAGTCATAGGTAAAGACGATGCAAAAGTACCACACCCAGACAGTAAATTTTAACTAAAATAAATCCATTGGACATCGACTCAAGGTCACTTGGACGCCCGCTGGATATCCTCCTTTGACATCCAGTGAATGACTAAAAAAGTCTCGTCCGAGGACAAGTCCCGGTCACGCCCATTGGATTTTTCGACGAAGATCCAACAATGGCGCTCCCTGGAAATTCAGCCCAGATCAAGCACGGAGCCGACGAGAAGAACCCGACCGACGACATCCTACGACCAATGGCCAATGGGCAGGGTCGGAACGAACGGCGACACGAATGGATCCGTCGATGCCGCCTATCAAAGGTGACCTTGGGCTGGACGCTCCAACCCGTCAAGGTCGTGCGATTGATTTGTCGATTCAGTCACCATGGACACTCGAATAACAAGAGTGGGAGGGTGGATGTCGCTAGGAACGAAATGTTCTTGCGTCCCCGCTTTCCCATGCTATTCGTCCCCGCTTTCCCATGTTATTCGTCCCCGCTTTCCCTTGTTATTCGTCCCCGCTTTCCCATGTTATTCGTCCCCGCTTTCCCTTGCTATTCGTCCCCGCTTTCCCATGTTCTTGCGTCCCCGCTTTCCCATATTATTCGTCCCCGCTTTCCCATGTGCCCATTAGTGTTCGTTGCTTACCTTGTACCGCCCCGCCAATTTCCATTTCCATTCGTCCGTCTATTTACCAGCTGTCCCTCACATGTGAAACGCCTTCACATCTGAGAACGGCCATTTATATCTCAGCAACTCTTCAGACAATTTTGACTCCTTTGCCGCAGAGGACCCAAACGATCAATCTCGTTCGGATTGAATCGTCGTTTCGGTCGCCCGGTTCTCCATGGCACGGAAGCATCTGTCGTGGGTCGAGTATGAATTGCCTTCCGGAAATGCGCAGGTGCCACGTGGTGTTGAATGGGAAAAGCTCATCAATGATGGTCGCATTTCCATTTTTTTAATTTTAAATTTTAAATTTCGTACTTTGACGAGGGGTGAGCAGATTCACTCTTGGCAACAGTCGATGAAAAACCTGGCTAGTGTTCATTCCATAATCGCCTCGAAATCGCGTGTGTGTGCGTGCGTCCGTGCGTGTGTCCGTGTGGTGAAGGGAGGGGGGGGGGGGGATTAACCGACGGATTATCCCCTCGTCCGCCGAAAGAGTAGCTGTCAGGAATCACGCGAATGCGAGTTGGGTTTATGAGAGTCTCACAAGTCTGAAAGTCTTTCAGACGACAATATACTCTCTTGGGAAAGAGTGAGCGATTTCCGAGAAAGGGAGCGACGCCGGAGTTGGAGATTATATTCCCTAAAAACAAGGAAGTAATGCCGCTCACCTCTCTCGTTCCCGAGAATGACAACTAATTTTTTCTACTAGTGCTCAATAAGTAACGACCTTCTGTAAAAATATATATATATATTTGTTCTTTTCCTCACAGAAGTTTCTTATTTAAACACCCTCGTAGTGCATCGAAACTCAGTCTTCATAGAAATTTTCAAGGTTCTAGGCCCGTTCCGCGTGTCTCAGGAACTCCCAGAAAGGTGCTTGGCTTTTCGCTGCGACCAGAAATGGCAGACTTCCCCCAAAAAATTCCGTTCGCCAACCGCGGGGAACACTGTTGCCCTCGGTCGATGCGCAGTCGAGGCCGACACAAGGACGACCGTCCGTTATTTTTCCTCAGAGTTTGATCTTTCAGTTGACACCAGCCGTTCCCTTCTCCCAGATCCGTTTTGAGCAGCCAGAACCGAACATTTCCATTTTATGACTGGTCACCTTTTATGGTCACCTTTTATGGTCACCTTTTCTGGTCACCTTTTCTGGTCACCTTTTATGGTCACCTTTTCTGGTCACCTTTTCTGGTCACCTTTTCTGGTCACCTTTTCTGGTCACCTTTTATGTTTTATGGTCACCTTTTATGGTCACCTTTTCTGGTCACCTTTTCTGGTCACCTTTTCTGGTCACCTTTTCTGGTCACCTTTTCTGGTCACCTTTTCTGGTCACCTTTTCTGGTCACCTTTTCTGGTCATCTTTTCTGGTCACCTTTTCTGGTCATCTTTTCTGGTCACCTTTTCTGGTCACCTTTTCTGGTTACATCTTTTGACTACACGATCATTCTTCAAATTAAATTATTCTATGCTTCAAATCTGCTTCAAATTAAATTATTTTTCTCAATTAAAATTGAGAGAAGTACTGAAACTGTATGATCTGCTTGGAGATCCGCTCCTCACAGGTTTGAAAATTCATCACAGCATTTTTCTCGATTTCACTTTTTTTTCGAAGCAGTCCCCTCAGCAGCACATCGGGGGAAAAAATTCATGGAAGCCATCTTTAATCGACAAATAAGATAATATTTTGATAAGGTAAAATTTCGATGATATAAAATTTTGCCCGTTACCATCAAATACATCTGTCTTCTCGCGAGAGGAGCAAGGATGGCTCACATGGCTTATGGCTTCTGGCTTACAACATTTTTCATCGCCCCACCTGTGCAACCTTCCGGCCATCAACATGTGCATACCAGAAATTATATATTTCTTTTATATATTTGTTTTTCCCATAATTTTTTTTGCGATGCAGGGGAAAGGGTTAACCGTGCAGGGACTTTGGTGGCAACAAATTAAATTAAATTAAAGTATTTCATATGATGAGATGGAGAGGCTTTTCTTCAGCAGTCTGCAAAATTTTCTGTCGCTGACATGTCGCAATACCCTGACGAGTATTTTGCAAGCCAAATTAAGTCCACTTCCTGCATTTATCGGCACGCCAAATTTCACTGAGGTCGGGTCAAATATTTTCCACTTCGGATAGGCTTAGGTGAGTGGGAACAAACGGCACCGCAAGTGGCTTTTTGGGAAAGGAATCCCATTGAAAATGAAAAATTGCCAAAAAAAACAGTGCCAAAAACAGTGCCAAATTCGTCTCCGGCGTGCGAATTCATCAGGCGTTCGGGTTCCTCAGGCAGCCGACGTACGCCTGGTACTGAGTCCGCAACCCGCTCCTCGTCGAGTCCAGTGTCTGCCGTCGAGATGAAGGTCGCATTTCAGATAAATGACACAATTGACGGGGACGGACGCGTAATTGACATTCGAGTCAATTGGCACTGACTCACCCCGAGAGAGCAACTTGAGAACGTCGTGCCCGTGTTATCCGTGACGCAACCGGACACCGTCGTGAGGAAAGCCTGGATGTCGGTCACGCTGCCGACGAACAAGTTCACGAACCCAGCACCCTGTTCACCATTAAGGGAGCATTAAAGGAGCAATAAAGGAGCATTAGAGGAGCATTAGAGGAAGCGCGTCGAACTGTCGTAGCTCGGGCAGGCGCTGTCACCCAGTTAAGAAAATGAGACAAATGGCTATTTTCTTCATGAAATGCTCATATTTCTTCTTTTTTGACATTCATAAAACTTTAGCGGAAGAACTAGCTGCCGATCACGATGCAGTCCAGACGTAATTCCACCTCGCTCACGAAATGCCACCTCGCTCATGGAATGCCACCTCGCTCACGAAATGCCCCTCGTTCACGGAATGCCACCCCATCGCGTACTCCCCGAAATTCGTTTCCCTTTGAAAGATTTCCGGGGAGCCTTTCTGCTGCCATTCGACCAATCGCTGGCCGAATGCCGGAAACGGAATGCAAAATGGTCTGTCTGGTTGGGGGTAAGCAGGTTTGCGCGGTTGGCGCGGTTTGCGCGGTTTGAGGCTGGAAACATTTCGGTAAAGGCTGGCAAGGACAAGGTCAGGCATTGCCCATGTGTAACAGGTATGCGAAACATTAGAGCGAACGATTGAAATTAACATGGAATTAAATATTTGCATCTGAATATGTTAACTTATACAAAATAAATGAAACATGTACTTAAATAATTAAAATTATTACAAGTAATAATGACATTTATAGGGGGAAAAAATCGCGAAAATCCGACAGGAACTCAACCCCATGAATTGCCGAGAGCCATCGCCAACATCAAGGAACGAATTGCACAAATAAAAATGGGAACATCTGTAACGAGCGACGCTGCAGCCACCAACCGTCGGCCATTTGTTGGACGCCTCGAGGTATGCAAATGGTAAACTGCTCTCCGACGGCTCCTTAAATAAAATGTCCACCTGTTGGAGCGATGTCCACCTGGGGGAAAATCCACCAGGTGAGAACTTCCACCTGGTTCCAAATCCCCCCTATCCACCTGGTTGCTTGAAGAGGTGGATAAAGGTGGACGTTTTTTAAAGGTGGAATCGGAAAGCGATTCACCGTTTGCCTCCCTCCACATCTCCACAAAACGGCCAACGTTGGCCGTAACATCCCCCGTTCCAAATTTTTTTTTGTTCCCACGAAGATCTGGCCCGAACGCAGGACCGACAGGTGAGCGTCTGGATCGTCAGTGGGCCGCGGCCCTGGGCCAAGCTCGACCGCACCTGCGGGGGAGAAAGCATGCTCCCATGCTTAGCACGATCGATTTTGCTTGTATGCTTGGCACGATTGATTGGGCGATTGATGAGCGGCACGACACAATGCTAGAAGATTAAGACTAATTCGAATGGAAAGGAAGTGGTATCCAAATCGCAAATATTTATTACGTATATATAATTTATTATAATATACTGTATATATTATATTATCATATGACATCATTTATTCTTCGCTAATTAACTTTATCATTTTATTGCATAATTTTGACTTTAACCATGGAACTATCAGAACTCAGATGGTCATTCCCAAAGAATCTCTCGGAAGAACTTTTCCCAATTACGAAGTGCCAAAAAGTACTTTGCCAAACTCCTATCACACCTCTGCAATCTGGAAAAATATATTTTGGCAATTCGTTTGGCACATTCACACGGGCCGCAATCGCCGATTCGGGTCCGATTGCGAAGTCGAAACGGAATCTCCGAGAAAGCGCAGATCCGCGAGAGCGTGCTGTTTCCTCGTGCAAAAAAAGGAGACGGACCGTGCAGAAACAGCCGGACTCACCAGAGCAGCGACGACGACGGCGACGACGAGAGTCGCAGTTTTCCCCTGTATCCCAAAACGCGACGATGGTTGAAACGAGACGGGCCAGGTGAATGACCCCACAACGGAAACGGACCATCCATACACAGAAGCGGGCCACCCACGCATGGAAACGGGCCACCCCCGCGAGCGGGCGAAGTGAAGCCTGGGCAATCAGGTTGTTGCTGTGACCTGGTCCGACATCGATACCGTACTGGATCTGCCTCTTGAGTTTTGCCACGTCTTGTTCGATTGTTCCCGTTCCCGTTCCCATTCCAGTTCCCGTTCCCGTTCCCGTTCCAGTTCCAGTTCCCGTTCCAGTTCCAGTTCCCGTTCCAGTTCCCGTTCCAGTTCCCTTCCCGTTCAGGTTATTGTTCAGAGGTGTGAGGGAATTTTGGGATGTCGATCGGTTTCGTGTCCTTTGCCATTTTCTGCTGTTTTTCCAATTCATAATGAGAGCCAGGATCCGCATCCATAAATAAAAAGGACCGGAAAGGACCCCCAGAGTCTCGGGGGAAAAAATGGAAAGCCCCGACCTGAAAATGATGCAATTCGCATCCGCACGTAACCCGATCACGATTGCATCAGGGAAGGCATGCCGCGATCGAATGTGGAGGTCTGCCGGGCCCACTCTGCTCTCAAGCCTGGGACTTCGGTGGGGGGCGACGGGGGAGCGGGGGGGGGGGGGGGGGGGGGGATGAAGGCAATTTCTCCAGTTACTGAAAATTCAGTAGAATGTATGTAAGCCCGTTAGTGAGAATTTGTGGCGTTTTTGTTACGTACTTACCTTCAACAGGAGAATGATGCGATTTTTATACGAGATGGTGGAAAACCTGGGAATAGTTGCAGACGCATCAGAATAATTGATTCAGGGTCTCTCAGGTCGTTTGAACTTACAGCAATGCCGGAGTCGACAAGGGCGGGGAGGGGCGGGGCGGGGCGGGGAAGGGAGGGGGGAGATGAGTGAAAGTTGCTCTCGTTTCTCAAGTGAAAACTTTTAAATAAATCATTCTTCGCTTCTCTTCGGGGCGGCTTTGCCATTTATTCCCTGCGGAGTGCAACACTCAGTCGTGCAAGTTGTGGCTCGAAAGTCTTGAAAGGAAAGGAAAGGCAAAGGAACTTCAAATCCCAGTGGATTCCGATGCGAATTTCAACGAACGTCCTGAGAACTACACGCTCCTACCTACCACTCAGCAGTGCCTTCAAATTATGTCCGAACTTGGAATTTCTTCCCTCGAAGACTCATGCATTCCCCACAAGGCCTCATCTGTGCTTGAGGTGACGAAGGTGACGAAGGTGTATATATATATATATATACCACCCACTTTCAAAATGATTCAGGCAGGCTGATTTTCTCTGACAACTCCTTTTTTATTTTTCATTTCACAAATAAATGAAAGTACCTCAAAATGGTCGACGACTTCGATGTGTGGGCTAACTGCTGACCAAACCAAATCGCGATATTGCAAACAGATAAAAAAGTTATTAATTCAAAATAACGCCACATGTTCCATCTGCACTGCATTTACCGATTTTTTTTTTAAATTCAATATTCCAGGTTTTTCCAGAAAAATACTTTTAAAAGGCACCAAAAAGATCTCACATAAAATAAAATCAGTGCAATAAATTTGCAGATTTCTCCAAGCTGCTTGAGAAATGGGAAGATACTTTTTATATCAGCAAGAAATACCATAAATAAAATAAGGAATGAAATATAATTTTCTGTGAAGAAAATTCACATATTTACATATACGTCACGTCGTACCACTTTCAAATGGGTTAGTTACAACATTCGTCATTCCAAAAACGTTATTTGTCGTTTTGGACTGCAATAGTCTCTCTACATTTGACCAGGGGCAGCATGCTATTTGCTCAAGCACGATTTCGTGCCGAGCAAGATTTCGTGCCTCGCTCAACTGCATGGTCGAAGCCGGACAAAGCAGGTCAGGACTAGACTCGAAAATCTTTTGATAAAACTCTGGTACATCTTATTATTGCAAATCGTGCGACTGGCAAGAAAACCTCAAAGACGCATTTAATTGTGCACGTCCCAACTAAGAAAAATTAATTTAAAAAAATCGTTTCCCCTCGTGAGTGAAGTGCCGGAAGTGATACTGAAAATCCTTGAAACGGCGAAGACGCCTGATTCTCCCCCCCCCCCCCCACAACCCCCCCCCCCCGCAGCAACATCAGCCAGTGGCCGTCCTGAGGCAGCTCACGAAATTATTATAATTTGTCCTCAGCGCGGACCTCGTCGTTCCCAGAGTCTGCGAGCAAAAGAAAATAATTCACACGGTGAAAATTTTGCCTTCTAATTAGCACGAGAGCAGTCTGAAGGGACTCACTGCCAAATTCGTGGTGCTGCACGCGATGATCTTGTTGCCGGTGGTGTTGGCGGTGCTGTCGAAATAGGTCGACGTGAAGCAGTTGGTCTTCAGGTAAGACAGGAAGCTGCTCATCGTCGAGGGGGCGAAGAAGAGCAGGTTCACGTAGCCGGCTCCCTGAGATACAGAGCGATCCATCTGGATTTGCTGAAACTCTGCGTGGCAACAACGGTTGTCGCGCTTGTTGCTGTCGCGGTGTTGCCATTAAATGTAATCTCGTCGCGAGTGGCGTTGAGACTCCAGGCGGTGGAGACTGTCGATCCTGAGATTTTATTTATTATTTTTATGTTGAGGGATTCGTTACGATTCGTTACAATTCGTTACATGAGGGTGACAGGCACAATCGACTCGGCGCGTGCTTTTGGGGAAACGATCTACTTTCCATTGCATCGCGGCGAAGACAAAACCAGGTCATCGAGAGTTCAGCGAGGAGTTCAAGGGCCTCCCTTTAAACGCGTCCCTTTAAACGCGTCCCTTTAAACGCGTCCCTTTAAACGCGTCCCTTTAAATTTCTCTCACCCGAATGCAGGATCGGCAGGCGGAGGTCGACGAGGTCGACTTCACGGATCCGCAGACCAAGTTCTGGATCGTGAACAGGAGCCCCTCGCTCGGTGGCACCTTTAATGGGAAGAAAACTCATTTAAGAAAATTTATGTCAATTTTTTCTCTTCTTCCTTTGTTTCCTGACGCGCATTAATCCCTGGCAGACTGCCAAAACGCAGGTGGGTGAATTCTAACTGCCGGTCTGCCAGGGAAGAATGAAAGCGCGCCTTTAATCCGCGTATGGAATACCCTTTTTTTTTTTAGTAAACATGTATTTAGTAAACACGCATTCGTTGGGTTGGTAAACAAACAAATTTAGTCGAAGAACATTTCTCCAGCTTTTTCTCTCGCAGATTAAGTTTTATCGTACGGTTTTGAAAGCTTCATTAGTAGCATGCATTCGATGTTTAGGCACTAGAGGATGAAAATGCCATCGGCCACTCTTGAATTTTAGCTCTTATTCCAGAAAGTCGAGAGAATATTTTTTTGATGCGTGTGGTGACTCCTTGTCGCGTCCCCAGCCTAATAATCAAGGCAAGTTTTCATCGGCTGGAGCAGACCGTGAAGAAAGTTTTCGCTTTGCAGGAAGATGAACCGAAAGTCCATTATTTTCTATTATTTTCCATGGGTCCATTATTTTTAAGTCATAATGGATCTGAATCAAGTCGTAATGGATCTGTGGTTCGACCGGGAAATCCCTGTTGGGATTTAAAGCCTGGAAAGGGAGATGAACGATTCCTACTGTTTTCCGCCGTGGCACATTGAAACTACAGACGGGACTCGCAGCATTGCCGCAATTCCGCCGAGCTCGTCCCGATTTCGACGCCTGCCCGCGGCGCGACTCACCAGATTGGCGACGACGACCAAGGCGACGAAGACGGACGCGGACACCCTCGGCTGCATCCTGAGAGGCGACCTGGACCGCAGTGGGAGTGCCGAAGGGGATGGGCCGAAGGGGATGGGACAAATGGGATGGGACAAAGGGGATGGGGCCCATGAATGCTGCATGGCCATCATCCATCCGGTTATTAGCGTTCGATATGCCATTAAGATGTTGCTTAGCGACCGAGACATTCACGGACGTCCGATTTAGCAAATCCTATGGCCTTGACCCACTGCCTCCATTCTCGCATCCATCCGGGCTTCTCCCGACGGCAGCTGGATGTCGCCACAGTCGCCTTTTTGCTGACGTATTTTTTCGCTGATTGTAAGGGTTTTGAGATTGGGACTTGCTGTAATTCTTGATTAATATTTAAGAAAGCCCGTGCTGCATGACGGAGGCAGATCCATGGACAGGCATGCACGCACGCACGCACGCACGCACGCACGCACGCACAAACAGACATCTAACCTATTTCTTGAGTGCTCTCAGTCCGCTGAAAAAAAATGGTGAGAAGTGATCGCGGAAGTGAGACAAGGTAAGTCGAGTTTGTTATAACGGAAGAAAGTCTATAGGGGATGCAGGCGTGCTATCGATTGCAGGTTGCATAGCAGCAAGATTGATGATTCCAAGCGCATATTTACCCTGAGCGTTGAAAACGAAAATGCGAAGAATTTTCCCAATCGTCAGTCGGACTTCTTCGCACCTGGTCGCATTCCGAGATGAAGCTTCACCTCTTCCTCGTCTTCTTCGTCCTCCTCCTTGCTCTGGCAAGTTGTGCAAAGTTTTGCAAGAATTTATTTGCAAAGTGAAATTCACACGAGGCAATTGGAACAACCGGCCGACCTAAACACGACAGTCTGCCCTTAGCGACAGTCTGCCATGCGAGGCTGCCTTTCCAAGGATTCGCAGTGTTGAAATAGTCGCTTCCTCAATTGTTTTGCCATTTTAAAAAATATTTGCGAAATACCCAACTGCTTCGAATTTGTACAACATGACACTTCGACAAGGAGAAACGACATCATGCGGATCTGATCGACTACTAGCATAGCGGTTAGATGGCGGTTAGGATGGCGGTTAGAAATTGTTCAATGTTGAATTTCTCTCCACTGGTAAATAACAATTCAGCAAAATTCTCCCCTTTCCCCCAAATTCGAGTTACCACGAAAAGGTGAGGTATAAAAACCAAGCCTCAATTCCCCCTGCTTAACCATGCCGACGACACATCGCAGGTGCCTGAGGGCTCGGGGATGTCGGACATCATTGACCTGGCCTGCCCTTCAGCCTCAGACGTGTTCAAGTGCCGCTCGTGCGTCCGGGTGAGACCTTCCTCATTGTCAGAGGGACATCCTCACATTAAGATTTCATCGATCCTCCTAGTGATATTAGTCCCTATTGCAGTATTCGTCCTCATTGGACTGGAAAAAATCTCTGACGAGTTTGAAAAAGAAGAAAATTTTTTTTAGGAATCATCAACACTCTGTAAAATTGATTTCACATCAAGCAATTAATTTTTTCAAGAATTGCCTTCAATCTCTCACTTTTGCAACTCATTATGTATATGAGCATATTATTGCAAAAATTCTAGTATTCCACTTCTTGGTGCATGGTTACTTATGCAAAATGTGGATAATTTTTTAATTTCATCTGGAACAGGCATATTAACTTTTCCTCATATTTTTCAATCTCAGCAATCACTGATGAATATTTTAAATATTTTTTTTTTAACGAGCACATTATATAAATATATAAAATATATAAATAAGGTGAAAATTGCGTGAAGCCAATACTCCACGATGTTTGCAAAAATGGATTCATTCGCGAGAATGGGAGCAGCTGGGAATGACATGGCAGAGGCCGATGAAATTTCAGCATCGACAATCTTTTAGTCGACATTCATGCTATTTCGCAAAAAACGAGACCAAAAACCTAAATGGCAATAAAAGCCTCCACATTGCTGAACTGATGGGAAATTTGGCATTTCACGCTTTGTCAAAGGTTCTTCGGGTAGTGTCCAGATTTGATATTAAAAATGAAAATATTAAAATTGACTTTGTTACCAGATCGCAATGACAAAAGTGTTTGCTTAATGTCGAACAGAAAGCCGGCTACGTGAACACCCTGATCGTGAACGTGCAGAAGATGACGAAATTCCTGACGGCCATCCGCGCGTGCTTCGACAACTCGCAGGACTACTACCTCTTCGACTACTACCAGACCTGCAATAACCTCCTGGCCGTGAGTCCCGAAGTGCCTCCGCGGTCCGCGAGTGTTCCCCCCCGGCGGATGGCGGCGAATGTTTTCACCTTCGGTTCGCAGAACCTGGAAACGACGAAGAGCGGATTGCTGAGCCAGTACAACAACTTCAAGGCTTGCCTGGGGAGAAAGAATGGCTGAACCGGCGAACCAGGGAGCTGGGGAGCCAGGAGCCAGCGAACCAGGGAGCCAGCAACAGTTCAGCACTGCACCGGATTTCTACCAATTTTGAATTTTCTTCACGAATCTTTGTGTTGTTGGGTGTGTGAGAAGGAAGGGACCTCTGAGATGTCATTATAAATATAATATAAATAAATCATGATACTAACGAAGCCTTTATTGAAAGTGATAATTTCCGATTTTTGACCAAACTTTGGTCACTTATAAGGCACTCTCGAAACGAAGTCGCATGGCACCAAAACTTGCAGCAACGAAACCGGCTTAGGCTCATAACCTTCCGCGCGGACTCAAGTCCCAATAACGTGCCCTCTTATTCTCTCATTCTCATCGAGTTCCTTCCCGTTTCTCGAGCACTCCCTGTTCTGTAGACTCGAATATGTGATGCAGTGCTCCACGAATCTTCCGGAGCAGGCGGAGATCCAGAGGCACTAATCGATCCCCACTGGATCGAGGAATCCATTGGAAATGGTTTTTCTCTGCCCCGATACGGCTGAGTTGCATGTGCAAAAGTGACTCTTGAAGGAGTCGCTCAATTGACACAATATCAATATGTGGAGCAAGTTCATTGTCCACCATGGTCGTAAATGTTCAAAATAGCCATTCGTTTCCGGAACTACATGCGACCCATTTTGCTTGGAATGGGGTGAATGAAAAAAAAAGGCTCAAAACTATTTCTTTTTCACAACTGAAAACGTAAATCGGGGGCGCTGCTGTCGACTGCAGTGCCCCTCTGCTGCATGCATCTTGAACTCATGAGCCTCTCTGTTAAATACCAGCTGCAAGGGGCTTTTTCCTTAAAAGTAAATCAAAATCGGGCGTTTACTTCATAGCAATCCTGTATGTAAAATGTAGGAGCAGAGAAAAACCGATTTCCAGAAGATAATTACAATCATGAGATCTGATAGAGAAGTGAGTGATAGGGGAAAGATCCAACTTTGAAGGAGATCCTCGATCTGGTGGGGATCGATTAGTGTCTCTGGATCTCAGCTTGCTCCGGAAGATTCATGGAGCATATGCATCACATTGTTCGGAATAATTCGCTCCATTTTTCATGATTATCGCCTGGGAAATCGATAATCATGAAAATTATGATGTTCTGAAGCACGGTGATCGCTCGAGAAACGGGGAAGGAACTCGAGTAGAATGAGAGAATAAGAGGACGCTATATTGGGACTTGAGTCCGCGCGGAAGGTTGTGAGCCTGAACCTGCTTTGGTGCCGCAAGATTTGGTGCCATGCGACTTCGTTTCGAGAGTGTTTTTAAATGACCCAAGTTCGGTTAAAAATCGGAAATTATCGCTTGGGTAGTGTTTCCTGTTAGATGTTATATACCCTCAGATTATCCTCGAGAAGTCCGGCGGTCATCTATCATGGAATGAATAGAAAGGCCCGCGGAGGTATTCAGCAACGAACCGAAGGACATCCCGAGGTTTTCTCCCAGGTTTTGTGATGCATCCCTGGGATCTCCCATGGACCTCCGCATACCTTTGAGGGAATTTGCGTTCAGGAATTGCATAAATCTAATTGCTAATTGCTTGTTGGGGATTTTCTGCTTATACGCGATGGATGACGACCTGCACAAAATGTCCTCCTCCCCGCATCCTCTAGAGTGCTTACGAATTCAATAAAAACCATTGAATGGAAATTAAATGAAATTTTAAAAAAAGAAAAAATATATATGAACCATATATAAATTATTGTTTTACATAAATTACATATATAAATTTAAAAAAAAAACGGTGATCGAGTTTCTTTCTCGTCCTGTTTACCTCTAGATGGATAAAAGCTTTTAGTAACCTGTTAGGGTGTAGGTCAATTCGTAGATGTCCATATGTG